GAAAGTTCTGAGAAAGCTCCATTTATGGTGCAGATCTGGGGAAGGGAGTGACAGTGAGTGCATGAAAAGCACAACACCCTGCCTAGATCATTCCTTCCTAACTCCCTTGTGAAACAAGAACCTTAAATTACTGGGGCAAGGGAGGGCAAGAATACACACCAGAATCAGACCGATAGCTGCACATGTACCAAAGAACCTGCAATGTATGTCGGTGACTGTTTCACATGTAACCACATGTTAGAAAAATAGAAGATATAAAATTTTGTTTTTTTAACATAAGTTCCCCAATGTATAAAATTCCATTATAAGCCAAACATAATTACAATGAAATAACTAGCTTCAAAGCTATACTATTTAAAATGAAATGATTCGTGTTTTACTTATTAGTAAAAAAGTGAGATTTAGTTGCTGGTAGGTGATCTGCATGATGTGTCTGAGTGCAAAGGGTTATAGAACAAATGTGTACCAAATACACACACACACATCTAGACATACCATATTCAAACTTCTAAAAACCAAAGATAAAGGAAAAATCTTGAAGACCGAAAAAGAATAAAAGATATAATACATACAGAGGAACAAAGATTATAATTCTTTCAGGCTTCTAATCATAAACTATGTAAGCCAGAAAACAATGGAGTAACATCTTGAAAAAGTTGAAAGACAAACTCTGTCAGCCAGAAATTATATGTCCACCAAAAACATTTTCAAAATAAATAATTTTTAAAAACTTTCTGAAACAAATAAACAGATAATTCATTTGCAGTACAACAAATAACAAAGAAAGTTCTTCAGGCAGAAGTAATGTGCTTCAACAGAAACTTGAATCTGCCCACAGAAATAAGAGCTAGAGTAAAATAAACAAAAGTAAAGGTAATATTTAGTTTTTCTTGGTTTTAATTGATCTAAAACATAGCAGTCTAAAGAAAAAAGTAACAATGTTTTGGTTTTTATAACACATGAAAAAGAAAACTATTTGAAAACTATAGCACAGAGGAAGGAAGGAAGGATGTGAGAATATACTTTTGTAAAGTCTTCACATTATATGTGAACCAGCATAAGATTATTCAAAGTCTTCTAGATTAAAGATGTACACTGAAAAGCTAGGGCATCTCCATAAAAATTTTAAAACAGGCATATGGGGCGGGGTGGGGAGGCTAAAAAAACCCAGAATTTATTTACAAAAAACAGTGTATTTATTATTACACGTTTAAACTTTAGTCACCTTCAAAGTACTCTTCATTTGATGCAACACACCTGTTGTGATACTTTTCCACTACTCAAAACAGTTTTTGAACTTGTCAGTTTTAATGCCTTTTAGTGCTTCTGTCATTTTTCGTTTCAAGTTAATGTCAAAGTCAAATAAACCAGAAAAAGAAAAAGAAACAACAGAAGGCCGGGCTCGGTGGCTCAGGCTGTAATCCCGTGCTTTGGGAGGCCAAGGTGAGTGAATTGCCTGAGCCCGCGGGTTCGCGACCCAACTGGGCAACTTGGCGAGACCTTATCTCTACAACAAATCAAAAAATTAACCAGGTGTGGTAGCGCACACCTCTAGTTCCAGCTACTTGGAAGGCTGAGGCAGAAGGATTGCCGGAGCCCAGCAGGTCGAGGCTGCAGTGGCTGGGAGCGGCCACTGCACTCCAGTCTGGGAGGACTGATTGAGACTCCAACTCAAAAAAAAAAAAAAAAAAAGAAACAACAGAGGAAACATAGAGTTAACACAATGGTAACTGTTAGTCCAAACACATCAATAATTGTATTTGACATAATAATTAAAAGATACAGGCTTTCAGATTACATAAAAGAGTAAACCCCCAAACTGCATGCTGTTTAACCCCCAAATTAAAAAAAAATTAAACATAAAACATAGGTTAAAAGTAAAATAACAAAAAAAGATATACATACTATGCAGAAACTAATCAAAAGAAAGCTTGAGTAGCCTTTTGAGTGTCAAAGTAGACTTCCAAACATAAGGCTACAATATCAATATGGTAGTCTTGATATAAGTATCAGTATATCAGTGGAAAAGAATGAAGCATCTGGAAATAGACTTACACATGTATATTGCTCATCAACATTTAAATAAAGGTGGCTAGGCAATTCAATGGGGCATAGGATAGTCTTTTCAAAGTTGGTAATGAAATAATTGTATAAACAGGTAGAAAAAAATTAACCTTGACTCCTATCTCAAACCATTCACAAAAAAGCCAAGATGAATCATAGATATAAATTAAAAAGTGAAAACAGTAATACTTTTTAAAAAAGTGATCTTAGGGAAGGTGAAGATTCTTAATAGTAGGACACAAAATGTATCAAACTTTAAAGAGAAACAATTGGTAATTGACGTTTAAAGGTTCTACTCATCAAAAGGTATTAGGAAAACAAAAGGACTGCCACAGAAAAAAAAATATTCACTACACACACACACACATATATATGTGGAATATAGGGTTTATATCTTGAATACCTATCAATCATAAAAGATGGTGGTATAAAATTATAACACAGTCATATGATGGAGTACTATTCAGCAATATAAAAGAATTAACTAACATGTATACATTTGAAAAACATAATTCTAAGTCAAAGAAGGAAGACACGAAAAGTATACTACTGTAGATTGCATTTATAGGAAGCTAAAATCAGATAAAACTGATCAATGGTGATAGAAATCAGAACAGGGATTGCCTGGGAGCTGGGGACTGATGAGAAGTGGAGGCAGATGAGAACTTTCTAGGGTGATGAAAGTGTCTCTTCTCTCTCTCTCTCTCTCTCTCTCTCTCTCTCTTTCTCTCTCTCTCTCTCTCTCTCTCTCTCTATATATATATATATATATATCTTTTTTTTTTTAGAAAGCAGGATTTATTGAGAGAACAGAAAACCTCCCATAGTGAAAGGAGACCCGAAGGGGTAGCCAAAAGTGTTCTATATTTTGATAGGAGTGTTGGCTACACAGGTGGTATATTTTTCAAAACTCACCAAACTGTGTACTTATTGAAATGTACATTTCACTGTATGCACATTTTACCTCAATTTAACCAAAATAAAAACTAATCATGTCACATAGTATGCCACATTTTTTTTTTTTGAGTTGGAGTCTCACTCTGTCACCCAGGCTGGAGTGCAGTGGCACATCATGGCTACTGTAGCCTTGACCTGCTGGGTTCAGGCAATCCTTCCACCTTGGCCTTTCAAGTAGCTAGAACTACAGGTACACACCATCACACCCAGCTGATTTTTTAAATTTACTATAGAAGTGAGGTCCCACCAAGTTGCCCAGACTGGTCTCGAACCCCTGTACTTAAACAATCATCTCATTTCTGCCTGCCAAACTGCTGGGATTAGGTGTGAGCTGCCATGTCCAGCTGTTTGCTACATTTTTCAGTATCCTATCCGAGGGTTTTAACTTTATATGAACATTTAATTTTCACATCTTATTTGCTGAACCTTGTGTTTTTCTACTCTTTTTTGTCATTTATAAAATAAAAAAGATAAGTATTTGCAAATAATCTTTCAGATACTGGATAAAAATCAAGTATGTTAGACATTTTTCCTCTTTAAACTTCATTACTATAGCTTTCTTTTCAATTCATGGACAGGCAGATCTTTACAACCCCCAAATATAGCATAAAAATAAGATTAAGTCATGTTGACTGAGATGGATGTTTTTATCTCCACATCCACCGTCTACATGGACCTTTATAAACTGCCTCACAGGCTCCCTTGCCCTTTGGCTGTGGTCCATGAGAGGCACTGGTGGAACACAGGAAGTTGGAAGGACAGAAATCTATTGCCCTAGCTTCCTCCCTTCAGTGCCACAGGTTGGCAGTTGTCTGTTTCTTTACTGAAGGTCACAAGTTTTTGAGACCTGCTTTGTCTTACAGCTAAGGGTTTCTACTGGTTTGAAAACCATTCTGTCCCCTTACCCTTTCAGGCCTAGGAGTCATATGGTACTTCTCTGTTGACTGTCCCATGTTGCTTCACCATCCCTTGTTAGGCTCCTTTAAGTCCATCCATTCTTTTGTAAATTCATTAAATTAAATTTCACCATGTTCTCTTAAATTACTCTGAGTATGCTGTCCAATTCCTGGTAAGACCCTCACTGACTCACTTCAACTATTTAAATTTTTTATCAGATCTCATTTCAGTTATGTGTGAAAGTTCTAAGGAAGGTTAGTCATATAAATATTTAAAATCAAGTTTCAAAAACCAGAGGTACTTCTCTCACTCCTGTTGTTTAAAAATATATACATAAGTATATGATTTGTAGAACTGCTTACTGTACAGGAAACAATCCCTGTGAATTTGTCTTGCTAGTCTCTTAAAATACATATGCTCCCTGGAATTTATCTTCAAAATATGAAAACACTCTAAGATATGAGACTCTTGATGGTGCAGGAGTCCTACACGTCCTCATGTTAGTGCTTTAGGAGAAATACAGTTAAGGATTTAGACCGAGACTTCTATGTTTGAGTATTAACACACTCTATCAATAAAGCAGACATAAGATTTTGAATTAATAGAGCTCTCAAAGTACAAATATCAATCTTGAGTGTAAAGAATACTTTCCTGAGACATATCTTGGATGTATTTTGTAACATGGAGTGTTTTCTTATCGTTTAAAGATGACAAATCCAAGAAATGCATCAAATAGGTATGAAATTAAAAGGAAAATATTTGAACAATTGCATGACTGTGAGCTATAGAAGGGGACAACAGTTGCAAAGCACTCCCCTGGATTTATCTTTGAAAACTAATACGAAGCATAATTCATGCTAAACACAATTTCAGAGTAACTTTGCATAAACTGCATATACCCTCAAAAATATAATTAGTACTAAATCAACATTTGGATCAATATATAACCAAACATCTTTATGGGGAAAGGGATTTCCTGGTCATGTGAAATTTCCACCATAAATGGCAAAACAAATATAACTAACAAATTAATCCAGGTACCACATTGTATTTCACAACAGCATGCCTCACTATGTGCTCACCATCATCAGCTAGATAAACCACAGTATTTTCCTTGCAATCTTGATAAAGAGGTTCCGTTTCTAGGCCTGTTGGGACATACACTGGCTCAGGATGAGGAGGAGTCCAATCTGGGGGAAAAAGAAGAGAAACATTTGAATATGACTTCAAAATAAAACAGAAGAATGTTTATTTTCAAATTATTCATTGATAGATCTTGGCTCAAATGTGTTTTATGCAGGACTGGATTTTACTAAGGGTACATTGGAAGTAATAATGAACACTCACACTAAAACACCTTGCAATGTACAGTTAGATTGGGAGGATATAGCAATGAAATGGTTGACAGGATTAAGGTGAAAGCTGTGCAATACACAACACTATGAGAAACAGGCTTTCTAAAATGCTAGCAAGCAAAGCAGAAGGACACCAGGGAGCGAATTCTGATTCTCCATAGATGGGGCAGCAGTGGATGCTGCAGTTGGCCTGAGAACCAGCAGAACTTGGAAATTTCAAGGACACAGGCTGTAAATAAAAGAGCAGCAGCATGGCCCACAACGAAGCTTTCTTTTTTCCAGCATGACTCTACCTTGCACAGACTGTGCCACCTGTAGCTGTGTGACTTCCTAATGACTCCGGGGATCTTTGCACCTGCACTGCATGGCTATGGTACCTTCACTCAGGGTGGAGGCTGGTTCAGAGCCCAAAGCCTGTTTACCATGGAAGACATCTGAAAGATGGTACCACAGACTGTAACCATTCTTTTTTTTTTTTTTTTTTAGAGAAAGCAGGATTTATTGAGAGGATAGAAAAGCTCCCACAGTGGGAAGGGACCCAAAGGAGTTGCCCTAACCATTCTTAAAACCATATTTTGGTTAGAAACTGTGTTTGGAATTTCAATAGAAGAGGCCATAAATAGAACCACCCTCATTTGAAAGCACACAGTAGGAAAAGTGGGGGTTCTACCAAGTAACCAAGGGAAGCAGAAACTGTCTCCACCTTGAGCCATTGATGACTGCATAAAATGAAGTCTGCAAGTGAGGACTAGGAAATGTAAGGAACAAAAAGGTGCAGTGAGGATTTGACAATGGGGTTGTCGAGTTCGATGGGGTGAACTCCAGTTGAGTGGAAAGAGCACACGGGCTGGAGGTGACACCGAGTGGCATGATGGGGGCTTGCTTTCCTCTGTCTCTCTTCTGCTCTTATTCTCTCACCACTGGGAATGCAGAGGAGTTATGCAGAGGCCCCAGTAGTAGCAGTAGGGACTTTCCTTTCCTGCTCCTTACTTATTCTCTCTGCCACAGATGTGTGATGATGAAGCTGTGAAACAGAACTAAGGTATAAAAGGAAGGACTTGGAAGACTCAAATTCAGTGGCATGGCCGTGTTCTCTCTGCTTGGCATTTTTATTTCCCTCCCTGGTGCTGAAGCAAAAATGACAAGGGGCCTTGACAAAGGCATTCCTCAAAAGAATTAAAATGCATTATATATTATATGTGTATTTTATAAGTCAAAGGACTTTCATATCTGCATTTGTAAAAACTATGTATTTTGTTAAATGGGATTTAATGTAGTATTAGCAGAATGTTCTACATCTTTTAGTAAATGAAGAAAACTTGTACCTGCTCTACACTCTAATTTACCAGAAAAAGAGAGATTAAAAAGGAAAAGGCTAGTGACAAAAGGGAGACAGATGTCCTCTTTGGCAGAAGATAAAGATAAGTCTAGCTCCAAAGAGGTCTTTGCAAATAAGTGATGCTTTTAAGTACTAATATGCATTAGTTCTGTAATATAATTTTAACCCTATAACGTTGGAATTCTTGGGGAAAATTAACTTTGTCCTCTATGAACAAAAATAGTGTTCTCTTCTCTCCCTTCTTGCTCCCTGCACCCCATATCTATTCTTTTATCTACCTACCAGATAATGTATTGGGAAAACTTAATTTATAAGAACTCCTGATATCTCATTTAAGTAGGCACTGTAGTAAGTTTACAGTTATAAGAAGTGTGAACAGTTTTAAATTTTATTCACCAATGAATGTCTATGAGATCTCTGGCAATAATGCATATGTATATGCTATCATCAACAAAGGATCAAGAGTGTTGCGTCTCTCTCTGTAAAGGATCCTGCCACAACAAAGGAGTATGGAGAGAGAGAAAACAAAAGAGGAACAGAACAGGAAAAAGGCAGACAGAGACGAAAAAAGATAAGATACTCTAAGGAGAAGACAGACACACACGGGGGAAAAAGGAGACAGGAAACCAAAGAAGCAGGACTACAGTTCACACACATTCTGGCACAGCCCCTGTGACATCCCTCCGGTGTGAGTCCGACTGTGACGAAACACTGTCAGGCTGCTTGGAACTGTTCAGAAGTATTCAAGCTTTAAAGGCTACTGAGCGGCCACTGCACTCCAGTCTGGGCGACAGAGTGAGACTCCAACTCAAAAAAATAAATAAATAAAAAATAAAGGCTAACACACATTTTAAAGCCCTCTGTCTAAACATGCGTGGCTACTGAACACTTAAAATGTGGCTGATCTGAATTGAGATGTCTGTAGGTACAAACGCACACCCTATTCTGAAGACTGTACAAAAAGAAAACATGTGAAATATATTTGATATATATGGGTTAAATGAAAGATATTTTTAAAGTTAATTTCACTTTTTTTCTTTTTACCTTAAATGTGGTTACTAGCAAATTTAAAATTATATATGTGGCTGTTATATTTCTGTTGAAATGCGCTAACACCATGAGTCTCCTCGTTAAAATTAAGGTTGGCAAACTAAGTTTGCTAAAAGTGTTTAACCCCTCAGACTGTTAAAAACATACCAATATGCTGGACTTTTTCATCAATGACCTCACAGTGGTATGGCCACCGTGTTGGGCTCAGTGGACCAGAAGAAAAGACACCATATAAATCCCGTGGTTCACGAAGACGTGGCACCCATCTCCCTAGCTGATACTCCAGTAGTATCTGTGTAGTCCGGGGGATGAATGGGCCACCAATAGAGTCAACTGAAAAAATATTCAAACACAGTCATGAGTGGTAAGAAGAAACACCCCAATTCCCATTTTAAAAAATAGAGCTCCTTTTTTCCTTCTAACACTATTCAACTTGTAGTTATGATTATCTTTTACAATTCATGGCATTTAATAAATAAAAATATTAAATTTTCTGACAACTGATTTTCACAATAGCCAAAAATGATTGTTAACCTTATACACTATTAATTTATGTCAAATTCTCACCACTACTCTAAAACATGTTTCTTGTAACTTTTCTAACAAATCATCTACTTTTGACTCTTCTTAAACTTAAGCCTGCTATTTATCTAATAGGTTAAATATATTCATAGACTATAATTCCTCACCACTTGCTGAAACTGTATTTTCAAAGTTTGCTAGTGAACGCTCAGTCACAACTGTTTTTCAGTTCTCATTCTAGGGCCACTGTGGGATACAACCTCAGGAATATGATTCACTTAAAATGCAGTGGACCACCCCAAGCAGACAGCACAGTGGTTCAGTCTCTTTCAGTGTGATAACTGTGAGGCAGCAACTTGATGTTGATGGTCATCCTTTCTTAAGTGTATTTCTGTATTTCCCTTCTTTCATGATACTACATTTCCTGGTTTACCCCTACCTTCCACATACTTGGTTCTCCACTTTTCTCACTGACTCCTCTTGTTCTTCCAACTTTGAAATGTAGCGTTTTGCCTAGATTCAGTTCTTGGCTATTTTTGTACAACAGCAGACAAGTAATTGGACTAGAAATAAGATAATTAGGTTCTATTCTACCACTTTGTTTCTGTATGATTCCATTTGAGCAAGACAGCCTCTTTGAACATAAATCTTGCTACATCTAAATAATAATGTAACCTTTCCTAGCTATTCCTCAGGATTGTTAATTCAATATATAGTTATAATGCATCTACTCTCTGCCAAAACAATAAACAGACACTGACCATATAGAAGCACCCCCCCCCCAAAAAAAACAGGCTGGAGGGCAGCAGCATGATCACAGTTCAGCTCACCTTACCTCAAAAAAAAAGTGTCTTGCCATCATAAGTTTGCCTTGTAGTAGGACATACAAAAAAACAGGAAAACAAGGTAATTTCAGAGATGATAAAGCCAAAAACAAAAAAGAGAAGTAAAATGAAAGTAAGAAATGGGCAAGCAGGGTTGAGAATGCTACTTTAGATAGGGCAGTCAGGCAAGACTTCTCTGAAGAGGTAACATCTGAGCTGAGACCCGAATAATAAACTTAGTCCAGGAATAAAAACTATTCTGGACATGTCCTAACAAAGTTAAGAAATAAGTCTTGAAGTAGTGAAACTGATCCACAAGCAACTTAACTGCTTACTTATCAGGACAAAGTCCAATATTCTTTCACAGAATATAACTAAACCCAGCAATCAACATGTAAAATTCACTCTGTCATTCAATCAAAAGTTAATAGGCCAGAGCTCTAGTCCTGTTATGACAGCATAAGTCTTAGACAGGCCTTCTCTCTCACTAATTACAACTGAACTCTAGATAAAATATGAAAAATGCAACTACCCGAGGAACCTGAAAAGTAAACAAAAGCAGGTTATGGGGTCACAACTTAGAGAAACACCTGCAGGAAGGTGAACACCACCTTGTTTCCCCTTGCTGCTCTTCCCTGAAGGCAGGCCCCATTCACAGAGCAGTGCAGTGGTGCAAATGGTTAGATCTCAGAGAGAAACTAAGTCTTTCTTTTTTTCCCCACTTGCCAAGGTTTGGGATCATTTTTGTTATAAATGCTTGATTCCAAAATGCTTCAGAGTAGCCTTTCCTTTTTCTCTTTGAGCAGAATAATTCAGTCATACCACCATAACAACAATAACATCCCACTTAGTAAGCACTTACTATATGCCAGACTCATTACTTAGAAGAAGTACAAACACTGATGAGATAGTCTCTGAGATCAAGTCCTTAGCCCAGAAGGAAGAAGTGTTAGGTGATACAATATGACAACAGCAACTACTGAGACATACATAGGATATTATGAGAGAATGTGGAAGGTTTGTCAATAGAGTAGAGGTTGAGAAACAGTTAACACACATACACACACAAGAAAAACAAAAAAGTTCCTTCTCTAAATTGGAGACCCAGTCTTTCAATAACAGTGAAACCAGGAAAAGGGGTCTTCAAAGAATGGAAGAAATCTGAAAAGAAGAAAGAAATCAGAGAAAGGTTCTAATTCTGTGTATGGACCCATACAAATCTCAGGTTGATCTATGCAAACAGACTATGAAAATTGAACTGAAACTTTAACCACACACACATGTCTCAGCTCAACCCTTGAATTACTCATGGACAAGACAGTCCCAAACCAACACAGGAAAAGCTTAAGAGAACTAAATAGAAATCTGAACCACTTATACAAGTCTCAGAACCACTGAAACTACACAGATGTGGAAGAGAATCAAATCAGCATAGCAAAGGCTTAGAGACTGAACCAAGATTTGAAGATGTCTCAGAAGATGAGTACTTAATGTTTAAAACTAACTGGGTTGATTGCCTCCTAGTGGAAAACCATAGACCTTGTCCAGAAGGACCCAGAATCTATACAACATAGCATTCATCATGGGAAAATCAGGAATATGACGTTCTCAGAGGAAAAGACAATCAACAAACACCAACATCAAGATGACCCAGATATTGAAACTATCAGACAAGGATTTTAAGGAAATCATTATACTCATGTACCATGAAGTAAGGGAAAAGCACACTTGGAATGAATAAAAAGACAGGAATTCTTAGCAAAGAAATAGACACATTGCTGGGAATGCAAAATACAGTCACTTCAGAAAAAGGATTAGCAGCTTCTCATAATGCAGATTTTGTTGTTGTTTTTTTTGAGTTGGAATCTCACTCCGTCGCCCAGACTGGAGTGCAGTGGCCGCTCCCGGCCACTGCAGCCTTGACCTGCTGGGCTCCGGCGATCCTTCTGCCTCAGCCTTCCAAGTAGCTGGAACTACAGGCGCGCACTACCACACCCGGCTGATTTTTGATGTATTGTAGAGATGAGATCTCATCAAGTTGCCCAGGTGGGTCTCGAACCTGCGGGTTCAGGCCATCCACTCACCTCAGCCTCCCAAAGCGTGGGATTACAGGCTGAGCCACCAAGCCCCGCATAATGCAGATATTTAGCATGTGATCGAACAATAACATTCTTAGGAATTTACCCAAGATAAATTAAAATACGTTCACACAAAAATCTGTACACAAATGTTCACAGAAGCTTCATTTGTAATAGCCCTAAACTGGAAACAATCTAAATGTGCATCAATAATAGATGGATGAATGGACAAACTGTGGCTTATTCACATAATAGAATACTACTCAACAACAAAAAAGTGAATCATTGATATATACAACAACATGGATATATCTCAAAAGTATTACGTTAAATGAAAGAAGACAAACACAAAATATATGATTCTGCATTACAAAATTCTAAAAGAGGCAGTATCATATGGCAGTATGGTGATGGGAAAGCCAATCAGTGCTTGTCTGGAGCAGGGGTGAAGGCTGAAGGAGAAGACAGATGCAAAGAGACACAGGGAACATTTGGGGTGACACAAACATTTTACATCTTGACTCTGGTAATGGTAAACAACATAAACAAGTTAAAGGATTACTATGATGGGCAGTTCATATCAGGCAGGAACATAAATAGACAATAAGCCAATGAAATAATTCTCAATTTCTTTAGCAACCACGGAAATGCTAGTTAGAACAGTGAGTTACCTTCTGTCTTCCAATATTTTGGTAATTTTTTTTTTTTTGAGTTGGAATCTCACTCTGTCGCCCAGACTCGAGTGCAGTGGCCGCTCCTGGCCACCACAGCCTCGACCTGCTGGGCTC